TGTAAAGACAAAATACCCAGTAAAAACTAACTAACCCTAACTTAAAACCTTTTTTTAAACTAAATACATCAATAATTGTTTTTAGTTTTAAGTTTAAGTAAAATTGAAGTTCAAAAAGAGTTAAATTATTAACCCTACTTTATCAAGGATGTTTGTTTTTTTTTACTTTTAACTTAAAGTTTTACAGCGACAGCTACGACAGATATCTGCTACCTGGAAGGATCCTAACACCAACTCGAAGTAGAGTCGAGGCCTCACGCCAACGTGTTCTGGAAACAGAGCAAACACCACGTAGTGGAGCCCGAACAGAGGGATGAGGAGCAGAGTGGAGCGGACGAGTCTCCTGCAGGAGGCGACAGACGACAGCAGAAGAAGCTGGCTGACAGGTAGACAGCGAGGAGACGAGAGAATGAACAGGTGAGTCAGATCTTACCTGTACAGCTGGGTCTCACTTTGGTTCACAGGTGTGGCCTTTGTCTTCTGAACGATGATCCTACTGACATTCAGGAAGATCACAAAGTTCATCTGTGGATCAAATCACATGCAGAGAAAACAAAACTTATAAACAAACAACAAATAAAAACCTTATAACTTATAATACATAAACATTTAGGTTAAAAAGGTTATAAAAAATATTCACTTAGCATCTCAAAATAATGACTTTGTGGTCAATATTTTGAGAAAGTTTTTCATTATAATAACTTTTATATCTCTTCTTAAACTTATTGAAATATTTGTTCTTTGCTTCCACAAATTATAACCAACCTCCTTGTCAAACAACATTTTAGTTTATTTCTGAGTTGTAATTTATTTAATTAATATATATAATTTGTGCTGTGTCAAAGCCATTAGCCCATTAGCTTAGCATAAAGACTGAAAACAGAGGGAACAGCTAGCCTGACTCTGTCCAATGGTACCAAAATCCATCTCCCAGCACCTCTAAATCTCACTAATTAAGATCTTATATATTGTTTGTCTCATATGCTAACCAGCTGCTGCCTGAAACATGAAAGCCGCAACAGCAAGATTCCCAAAACACTGAGCTACAAAAATAAATGTCAAAATATCCAAAATCTGGACAATAAACATTCACCTGACTGATTTGTTGACTTACAAGCTGCTTTTAACGCGCAGTTAAAGGTGTGTCGGTGGGAGAAATGTCCCGTTCCCAGAGGTTAGTTCGGGTAAATAAAAGAGATGTGAGCAGAATGTGTTTGCTTACAAAGATGGAGAGCAGAATGGGAATCTTGATTATCCACCACAAGCGGCTCTCCAGGTTGTCCCAACAGCTGCGTACAGAAATATTACCGTCAGTTAACATTAAATGAAGATGTGTAACACGTCTGCACATCGACACTTTTACTCACCCTTCGTCATCCAACTGATGTTTCAGCAGGGCCCAGACAACAACAGTCACTGATGGAGTACCTACAACATCAGACATGTAAAATAAAGCTTTTAACTGGAACCAAGAAGATCACATCACTCCTGTTTCAGCCTCTTTAGGCTCTCTGTATGTTTTTAGAATTGATTTTAAGATTTTAACTTTTAAGGCTTTAGGTTGTCTCTCCCCGCCTACTTTATCTCAGACCTTTTCATACCGTACACGCCGGCTCAGGTAAACATCTTTTATCTGCTCCAGAGGCCCAACTGAAAGGGGACGGAGAGTTTGGGGCCCCGAGACTCTGGAGCAATCAGGTCACCTGAGTCAGGGATTTAAGTCTCTTCTTAAAACACACTTTTATCTGAGCGCCTGCCCTGATTTTACTTGAATATTAATGTTCTGAAGTATCTTTTACTTCCTAAATGTTTTATCACAGCACTTTGTAACGTTGGTTTTTAAAGTGCTCTATAAATAAAGATTATTTTTATTATTATTATTATTATGATACATATAAAAGCACAGCATACCCCAGCCGATGGGGGCGTAGATCCAGAAGAGCTTCCTGGTCTGAGCGAAGGTGAAGAGCAGCAGCGTCTGCAGGTACAAACCCTCCACCAGCAGCCAGGAGAAGTTGGACAAAACGCAGAAGTGGAAGAACGTCACTGCTGCTTTGCACCGGAGCTGAGACGACACAAAGGACATAAAGGACATAAAAGACATTAAGGACACATTACCTTACACAACAGATGTCACAGGACAATTTAAATTTAAAAGCAAGAAACAAGTGTCCAGGTTTTTGGGTTGGTTTTGAAATAAATGATTTGAAAGTTTGATTCTTATTTTATATATCAGGGTTCAGTGTTTCGGTGCTTTATGGTTACACACAATGATTTATATGGTTTTAGAGCTGAAACCATCAGTCGATTAATCCATTAGTCAATCGACAGGAAACTTATCTGAAACTTTTATTAAGAAAAAACAAAAAAAAAATGGTTCAAGCTTCCTAAATTAGTGAATTTACAGCTTCTCTCTTTGTCTTTTATGATATTAAACTGAATAATGGGATATGATATCATCATCATATCATGTTTTTACCATATCGAGAGGAAAATAAGCACCTGAGGTTTAATCTTCACTGAACATCATGATGTGATATTTGTTGTAGACGAGGGAATCTCTGCAGATCTTCATTATAAAGCTGACTGTCACATTTTACTTTTATCAAAACAACTGCAGCTTCTGCAACTCACATACTGTGATTTCCATAATATTGTGATTAATTGTGCAGCCCACTCAGAATGATTGATTAATTATAGTAAAAGTAAACTGACCTGGTTTGATCAGTGCTGCCCAATAAAGATCTATAACTTAATTGATTAATTTTAGACAACAATTTTGTGCCACTGGACGTTATAAACCTGCTCGTTTTAATCAATGCAGCTCAGGATTCACTAACTTTTGCCCCATTACAAAATAATTCAAATTTTTAATTATTGGTGATATAATTCCAGACTCATTTTCTTTAAGTTAACTTTATATCCTTATAATAATGTTTCTCTTTTGTTTTAATTTCAGTTTATTAATCATCATAAATCCAAAATATTCATAATAATCCCCCAAAGTGTAAAGATTTATTGTTTTTCACCTAAAGAAAATTAAAAATGTATTTACAGTCAATTAATGATAAATAGTTTTATCATATGTCAGCTGTTTTAACAGGTAATGTAATAATTTTTGTTAGTGGAAGAAAACTGAGTAAATTCAACTTGATGGTAACAAAGTTGGAAAGTTTGGAACAGACTTTAATGAAATTAGCACAATTAACTTAAATTACTAAGGTTACCTGAACAATAAATACATAAGTTACTTCAAATCAACACATATAATACACAAATAAACACACTGCACATGTAAATAAACTAAACTATCGTCAGTGTGTCTGCAGCCTTACTGTGGACACGGTGCAGTGGTCCGTGCTTTTGTCTGCAAACAACACTGAATCTTTGATGAACACAGCGAGACTTCTGAGCATGAAGGTCACGAACAGGTTGAGGTGGATGTAGTTGCGCGTGCAGAGCAACTTCCTGGGAGGATAAAAGAGAGTATGAGTTTCATCTTTAACATTAGATTTTCTTTATTTTTCAAAATAAGGCAACCTGAAGCTGCAGAAGACCAGAGCAGCGACGAGGAGAGCAGCCAGAGAAACTCCGTATCCGATGCTGTACATCAGCTTCAGGGTATCAAAGTAGTTCCTCTGGAGCAGAACATGAAATATTTATCAATTAGAGGCATAAAGAAGCAGAAATCTTTGGTTCCCTGCTGATTTAAAGATGAAATCAGAGTTCAGAAGGAGACAGTAAACCTTTACATCTGCTCTACCTCCTCTTCCTCCATGTCTTCGTCCTCCTCAGAAGCTTCGTAGTAACAGGCCTCGTAATACGGCACGCTGGGTTTGCTCCATCCTCGGACCGAGCAGCTCCTTGTGATGAGAACTGAGAACGATTCATTGGAGGAAGAGTTCAAACTGCAGCTGAAGACATGGAAGTCCTTTCTACAACAATCTGAATGTGATACAGTTTATTGATTTCTATCAGGAAGAAGTTAAGTTTAATTTTTAAGGTAAAATAAAAAGAATAAATAAAAAAGATGTGATATTTCTCCAACACTGCATGTTCCTGACATTGTACTCCAGGTCCAGTTTGTAACATTTAGGAGCTGTAAACACAACACTGACATACCAACATCTTATATGGTTGTTACTGTGAAGTATGTTGTTATAATATATGATATAATTATGTAATTTATTCAAGGTTAGTAAAGTTAACGTTAAAGGTGACGTTAAAGTTTTAAAATCTATTTATGAGGTGCAAAGTAGTATAAAGGATGTTAATGTTAACATTTAAAATGAATTAAAATAGTTTTTACTGTAGACAAAAACCTATTTTAAAGGCTGATTTTGTGGCTGGTGGAAGATTTTCTTGGGAATCTGGACTAAAACCTTGGCTAAAAATAATTAATAATTATTATTATGCTAATAATAAGTGTGCACTTCAATGTTCCTCTTCCTGAAAGCTGATATAAACTCTTCAGAGACTTCCTGCTGTGTGTGGACGCCGTTCACCTGGAGGAGATTCGGGCTTCAGCAGCGGCAGAGGACAGAGGACGGAGACGATCTCTCCCTCAGAGGCAGCCGGCCAACAGCTCACTCCGTCCCACTCCATCACACAACCTAACATCACAATATAAACCATCAGCGTGAGGAGTGGGACTGAGAGAGGAAGGTTTCTATCATATAGTTACCTGATGTTGTGTTACTGCTCCTCTGCAGTGACGCTGCAGCTTTGGTCTTAATCTTCAGTTTACACTCGTTTTCTTTCTTTTGCAGGTGAAGAACAATTGAACATGGATGAGTCGATTCCACCTGATAACAAAGATTAATGCAGGTTCATTCAATTCACCTGGAAAATCAGTTAATATTTCTACTGAATGCATGAAAGCTTTGCATTAATTTGAATAACCAGGATCATTTATAGCCTATTTACTGGTTAATAACAACATTTTACACACATGTTATAACTTGTTAGTGGATAAAACTGATATAAAACTGATATCAGTGCACACATAAATCCCAGTGAAAAAGGAGAATGTCATATTACTTTCATTATAATGAATTAATGGCTTTTATTTAGACAGATTTTAGAGGGTGCTGCAGCTCCTCAGCACCCGTTTCCTGCACCTAGAAGCCTAGAAGGAAAGATTTGATCCAACTTTATAAAAACAAGAGTTTGAGACTCAAATCTTGTACATGAATTTAAGATTTTCACTCGTCTTTCTACATTTTATATTTGGAATATAATTTAATATGTGTTGAAGTACCTGATAAATGTGTGTCTGTTTAACTATTTAAGTTTATTAACTCAAACAATTTAAGCTTTAAAGATATTTGATTTGAGTTGAAGGAACTCAAGTATTTATTTACTTAAGGTAACTCGGGTAAATTAAGTTAATTAAGTTACTCTCATATGCAGCATTTATCCAATTTTTTTTTAATGTGTGAACAGAATTTATCTGAATAAAGTCACTTAAATGCTTCTTTATACAAATGTTACCACCAAGTTGAATTTACTCAGTTTTCTTCCACTAAAGCGAATTATTATATTACCTGTTAAAACAGCTGATGTATGAAAACAACAAAATAATTAATAGTGAATTCATTATCAAAATGATTTAATGTGACTTACATCAAATCTTTATACTGTGAGGGATCATTAAGAATTATTTGGATGTATAATTGAGTTTATGATGATTTATAAGCAGTGGTTCTCAATCTGAGGGTCGGACCCCCACTAGGGGTCGCCAAAGCTTCATGCAGATTTCTTGTATTTTAAGGTGTCCGAGAAAACGTAAAAAATACACACAGTAGGTGTATATCTCTGTGTTTGGTTCACTTCTGTGAAGAAAAGTAAAGTAAATTATTAAATAAGTCTGTGTAATTGTTCCATAATATATTAAAAATACATAATACAGACAGAGAATTGTATAAAAAAGTTCCCTAAACAGGAAATAATCTGCTCTAAATTCATCACAAATTCATTGTACAGTTTTTAATATAATATGAAATATCCATATAATATGTCACTGAGTCAGTTTACTAAATGATAGAAAATGTCCCTTAAGGAAAAAGGTTGGGAACCAGTGATATTATAATGCTTACATTTATATAAAACTGGAATTAAATCACTAAAATTTAAAATACTGAACACATTTAACTGAGTTGCTTTAACAGTTCATGTGAATGACTCCAGTTTTTGTTTTGTAATAATAATTTATGTTAACTTACTTCTTACATTAAGATGTGTTATCAGATTATTTATCTGTATTTAGTTTAAGGGCTGTTAATGTGCACAAATACTAATTTACTTTTAATTTCCACAGGCAGGACACATTTTATTCCTCTTTACATTAGATACCATGTAAATACATTCAGACAATTGCACAAATACACAAATAAATGAGTTTGCAGTAACTTACCACGTATTTAGTGATGATGAGGATGTATAAGGCAGCAGTCAGACTGAAGTTCATGGTTTCAGTCGTTAAAAAAAAGTGTCAGTTTTTACAAAATCTGCACCAAACAGAAGATCTGCGGTTTAAAGTTTGTTAAATATCTGAAATATGTTTCCTCTTTAGGGTTTGTAGACTGCTTCCTTCCTGCAGTTGGACTGATGTGGAGCATTTTGAAGCCAACATCATTCACGTCATTAAAGGATGATCTCACCTGAGCAGCTTCATGCTAACAGCGGGAGGAAAAACAGAAAACAAGGTGCCTTTAATTCATGATTTATGCGGCACGCTGTTGACTGTGGAGTCCTTAAAACCAAAAATGTGCATTAAAAGAAGTCATTTTATGGTCTTGTAGTTTATTTAATTAACAAATCCTCTCACAGCAGGAGTTTTCATGCAATATTCAGCTGATAAACAACACATGCTGTGAAAATCAAACAAGCAGAAAACCTGCACATACTGATGGTTTTAATGTGAGTTCACATCAATAAAAGATCTGTTATAATGTTTAATCCTCAAATATATCTATTAAACTGTGAGAAGAAAGCTTATAAACACACTTCTACTGTTTGAAGGCATTTATTATCACTTTAATTTACTCTAAAATATCCCGAAAGTGGCACAAGAACATTTAAATCCAGGGTGTGAACTACAGAGGAAGCTTATTTTGGCTGTTAATTTCTGTGTTGTGTTGCTGTTTCTTTAATATCATGGATGCATAAAATTAGGCTCTTATTGATTAGTTAACTGATTATTATTTATCAGATCTTGAGATAAGCCTTCAGTATTGCAGTTATGAATGTTTCCCTGCAACTAATGTCACACACTGAACTCTAATCTTACTGTATTTAAACAACATGCAATGGAGGCTGCTACCACTAATATGTATATATTAATACTCTTTAATGCCTCTCTAATTAATACATTATGTATTTGTATGTTATAGTATTTCATTGAGTCCTTACGTATTTAAAAACAAGGTGATTTCATGAGTCTGTTTGAGGAAGAGGAGGCTGTAATGTCTCCCTCTAGTGTTTGATTCTGCTCTCTTTTATCAGTTTAAACAAACATACAGACTTAACAAGCTTCTTTTTTTGACAAATTCAGTTTTCTTGTCCTCAATGTTTGACCTTTGTTCTATTAGACTATTTATTTTTCTTTAAAGAAGTGAACTAAATGCTGAGACACAGACCTACTGTGTGTATTACATCACTGATTCTCTCACTTTTATTGATTGTTGATGCTTTGGCAGAATTGTTGTTGCCGATAAAGCAAATTAGAATTGAATTGATTGCTTGTTTGTTAATATAATTACCATGTTATGTTTTACAGACTGCAGTGAGTACAGTTATCTAACAGTAATTCAGGGGAACTCTCACTACTTGTCTGTCTGAATCAGATAAACTCGTGTTACGCAACTTTTTCCCTCCCAGCGTGAGAGGAGGGGTTGGTGTTGGGGGCAGATGGTCAGTTAGTCTTTATGTGGGTTTTTTTCCAGACAGAGACGCCCTAAGATTTAACTGGCATCCAGAGAACTCATTACTGTGATGTGAACTTCTTTGTACAGTCAAGACTGATCTGAATCTGCTGTCACGGTCAGCTCCCAAATACTGGAGCCACTGGTTCACTTCAAAGAGCAGCTTTCATTTATTTTATTAATTAAAATCAACCTGCGTAAACTAGAAACACAGACACATGTTTATATAAAACATCTAATTTATATTGTACCTTCGACTATTGAGGTTTATGGATGTTTGGCTGTGAGATCTGAAGGTGAACTATCAGGAGTGTAACACAGAAATCTGGTTCCTGGGCTCTGATATGAAGCCAGTAGACAGATAGCTTAGCTTAGCATAAAGACTGGAAACAAGCTGTATTTCTCTAGAGTCAGGACTTCAGTGAAGGCTTGTTTTGTACAGATATTGAGTAAACAAACATGAGCAGTATCAATCTTTTCTATTGATTTTGCTTAAACAATTGATATTGGTTCAACAAAACTTTGTTAATTAATGATTAACTTTAATCATTTTGCCATATTGTAGGTAAATTAAATATTAAATCTTAATCTACAAACGGCTCCCAGGTGTTCAGAGACCTTCTGGTTCCACTCTGATCTTCAGGCTCAGTAACTTGTGGAGGATCCAGATCTTTCTATAATTAATCGATTATCAAAGTGTTTGCCAATAAATTTCTCTGGATCGTCTAATCTAATATCTGCTGCTGCCTCCTTATTTTTTATGTAACATCATCAAGAATTGATGCATATTTTAAGAACACAGAACAACAATGGAAAAATCTGACCTTTAAGTCAACTAAAACTAAATATTATTAGTTAAACCAATGTTTCCTGTCTTTCTTTAGGGAACCAGTTTCTTAAAAATGACAAACTACCGACACAATTCACAGTAAAAAGAGCAAATTTGTGCACAAATGAACGTTTCCTGATCATTTTTATTGCTGTTTCTGCTTCACGTCATATTTTCTTAAACAGAGATGTATTTTGAAGAGATGTAGCCTCCTGCGACCCTGCGTCCTCCTAAGGGGACAAAGTTTTATATGAACACATTTTAAATACTTTATGAATAAGACAAAATAAATGCATTTAGCAGGAAGAAAAAATTCTGCAAATGTTGGGTTTAATCTATGGGAATGAGACATTTTCTGGAGGATTAAGTTAACATACTTTTTATTTAAACTGCGTAACTTTAAACCTTCGTCTGACCCTAAAGCTGCTGGAGGAGAAATAAAAACCTCCATGTATCCTGTTCTATTTAACATCCAGACTGAACAGAAGCTCCTGTACAGTAACAAATCAGTGCGAGTCGGCACACAAAAGGTCGAGTCTTGGCACATAAAGCAGTGGAGGCCTCTTGGGGGGGGGGGAGTAAACAGTGCACCCTTGTGTCCCTCCTCTTTCACTGGCCTCCCCTCCTCTTCCTCCCCTCCCTGTGGCCTCCCACCATCACACACCCAGTGCCAACTTTTACACCAAGTCGAGAAACCATTCAGCTCCGGAAAACAGCAGTGGAACGACTGACGCTCAGATCTGTTTGGGAATGTTGAAGTTGTGATGTGTTGGCAAGACAAGACTCTTTCTTTCTTTCTCCTCCTCCTCCTCTTCCTTTCTTTCTTCCTCCTTTTGGAAACCTGCCCAGTGCGACAGCTGCCACTCGCTGTGCGGCTGAAGATGATTGGATTAATCCTGCTGTGGGGAGGTCACTGTGGGCCAGGTGCTGTCGTGGGATCCTTCTCAGGCTGGAAATCTCCCTTTAACGCGCACCTTTAAATCCTCATGTGATCTGCAGTCTGTTTACCTGGAGGAGCCACTTCAGGGACTGCAGGACGTTTTACTTCTTTTCCAATCACATTAGAGCGAGTGCAGCTTAAACAGGCAGCACAACTTGATACAGTTACAGTTTTTAAGCATTTGTTGACATTGATTTCTAGATTTTCTCCCATTTTAAAGTCTCATTGATATAATTTCCTTTCAGAATTAAAATTTTATTTTGGTTTATTGCCAAGTTTTCACATATAAGGAATTTACGTTGGTACATATAAAATATATATACAAATATAAATAAAGATTTGATTAGAAACACTAAAAGGAGCCACTACATACATATATAAAGAGTTTCTTCTAAGTTACTGTTGAATAATTAAGAAAATAACGTCCTTATTAATAAAATATATGTTTGGTATTGAGTTAATATAAAGTTTCCAGATGGGTGAGTAGATTAATTAATTAGATTTTACATATGAATGATATATAATTGAGTATAATCACCTACATTTATGAGTGTCTCTTAGTATCTCTTAGGAATAACTTATACAAACTCTCCTGTGCAGATAAAACACATCTTTGAATTGTCGGTTAAACCAAATATTATTGATAAGTTACTTCAATAATTGCCACAAAAATCAAGGACACAATTCAAGATTTGACCTAATAAGTTATTTAAAACGACCACAGAATCATTTATTACAGTTTACCCCCCTCAGGTCTGTTAAATGGTTTGGTCCACCTATATATGTTCCCCCCTCATCAGTTAGGTCGGTTTAAGTCACTTCATTTCTGTTTCCTTTACCTCTTTTATGGCTCAGTTTACTTAATAATCCCATGTTGCTTTACCTTTTCTCATTTTTTGGGGGGAAATGAAGTAAAATTTTATTATTTAATAATACTCAACACCCTTTTTTAGACCATCAATTCAGGTGAGGGAAAACTCCCCAAAAAACATTTTAATAGGAGGAAAAATGGACAAAACCTCCAACCAACAAAATCAAATTATATCCAAAGTTTTAATGACAGAATTTCTGATATATAAAGATTATAAAATAGAAGTATAGTAGAAGTAAATACCCTCCCTCTTTCTTCCTGTGTCTCACAGATTTGTCCCAGCCTATTTTTGGCATATTGTTTTATTCCCATGTGCTGCTTCAGTCTATAAATAACATCAGAAACATGTTCAACAGAATCAAAATCTGTTTAATTCAGACGTTGAAGACAAAGATACAAACAGAAAAGACTTTTTATAGATCTGCTTTAGCTTTATGTTGATGTTAATACTTCTGTAGTTTAACTAGTAACAGAGTATCCGAGTACTTCGTCCACTGATTGAAGCAGTGGTTCCCAACCTGGAGGTCGAGGCCCCCACTAGGGGTCGCAAGGTTGTTTTGAGTTTAAGGGATGTAAGAAAAAAACAATACACAGTAGATCTATATCTCTAAAACACTGTAAAAAGATATAATTTTAATTAAAAAAACTGTCAGGTTTGGATGCCAGAACAAATAAATACGATTTTTGCAGATTATTTCCTTTGAATATTAATATTAATGTAGATTTTTAACAATCATACAGACTTAATAGGCTACTCTTTTCTACACACTGGATTTGTCACAAAAGAAGCATATTAAGTCTGTATGATTGTTATAATAATGCATTTAAAATAAAAAGAAATAATCTGCTCAAAATCCATCCAAATCTCTGGTTTTATTGGGTTTAATAAATGATAGGAAATAGG